CCCCTCCGGCGCCCCCACCGGGGCCTTCGCCTACGCCAAGTACAGCAGCCGGCGCGGCGCCAAGGAGGCCATCGCCGCCTTCAACAACTTCGAGCTGCGGGAGGGCTGTGCCATCTTGGTGTGCAGGAGCACGGAGAAGCGCGAGCTGAGAGTGGACGGCCTGGATGCCTCGGTGAGCCGCCGCGAGCTGGAGGCCGTGCTGCGGCGGGTCACGGAGGGGGTCCTCAGCGTCACCCTGTACGTCAGCCCCTGCCAAAAATGGGCCCGGCTCGCCCTGGTGAAATACAGCTCACACCAGGCTGCTGCCATGGCCAAGAAAACCCTGATGGAAGGTAAGCGGGAGGCCTGGGTGCTGTGGTGACTGAACCATCTTGGTGGAGATGCCCTTCCCCTCCATGCCCCATCCCATGGTTGTACTCCCCCATAATGGGACACATTTCCCGGACATCCAACCAGAACCTCTGCAGCCCTGGTTTGTACCATTTCTGCCCCAGCTGAGGAGTATTTGGCTTTGATATCCACACCTGCCCCTAAAAATCCCCTGAGCTTCACAGCCCCGAGCCCACCTTGGTTGCAAAAGCAGATGGAGAAGCAGCTGCCCTGCAGCTGTGTGAGGGCTCGTGGAGGCAGGGGAGAGGATTTGTATCATGGGGGCAGTGCTGAGCCACCCGTGGGGTCACTGCGATGCTGGGGGTGGGATGGGGTGGCACTGGGAGGGCTGGGGCAGGAGCATCTCCTGGCAGCTGCTGCCGGTCTCTCAAGGGAACGTGAGGCTCAGTGGGGCACATACACGGGTGGAGTGGCTGAAACCCGACCTGAAGCAGAAGCTGCAGCCGTGCGAGGAGAAGCCATCATCCAGCCGGGTGCAAGGGGACAAGTGCCTGGAGGTCCCTAAGAAGGTGCCCACCTCTCTGGTGCTGTGCAACGCGCTGGACCGCCTGAACACCCTGTGCCAGCGGCGGTACCTGGGGATGCCCCTGTTCTTCACCAAGTGCGTCCAGGTGTGCCCCAACGGGTGGCAGCGGTTCTGGTGCCAGGTGGTGATCCCGGGGTGCCCCGTGCCCTTCAGTGGGTTCGTGTGGGTGCAGCAGGATGGGCCAGGCTGGAGCGGGCACCAGGAGGCCAAGGTGGCGACGGCCATGCAGATTCTCAGGATTTTGGGTGAGTCCTCGCACGGCGTCACTGCCAACCCCCTGCCCTTCCCAAAGTCTTGGAGGATTTCCTGGGAGTGGAGCATCTCCCTTATGCAGAAAGGCTGAGGGAGCTGGGGCTCTTTAGTTTGCAGAAGAGGAGACTGAGGGGAGACCTCATTCATGTTTAGAAATATTTAAAGGGTGAGTGTCACGAGGATGGAGCCAGGCTCTTCTTGGTGACAAACAATGATAGGACAAGGGGTAATGGACACAAACTGGAACACAGGAGGTTCCACTTCAATTTGAGAAGAAACTTCTTCTCAGTGAGGGTGACAGAGCCCTGGCCCAGGCTGCCCAGAGAGGTTGTGGAGTCTCCTTCTCTGCAGACATTCAAAACCCACCTGGACGCCTTCCTGTGCAACCTCATCTGGGTGTTCCTGCTCTGGCAGGGGGATTGGACTGGATGAGCTTTGGAGGTCCCTTCCAATCCCTAACGTTCTGTGATTCTGTGAGTGTGGAGCTGTGGGGAGGGGGACACCAGCCTGGCAAGCAGGGCTGAAACACCATCACCCCCCAGTCAGCTGTGACCCTGGTGGCTCTGAGCTTTGGGGGGATCCTGGTTGGAAGCAGAGGACCCAAGGGGATGGGGTTTTGGGGTGCAGCACCGTGCAGATCCCGACTCTTTCCACTGCAGGATGCCAGCTGACGTAGGCAGCCATTCTGCCCCAACCAGGAGTTGAACCTGAGGTGCCAGCCTTGGTGCCAGCAGCAACAGGAGCGATGTGCGAGCCCTGCCTGGGACGCGGTCCTGTTCCAGCTTTGCTTTGAGTTTGTTTGGTTTGGTTTTGAGAGCCGGCTCTGGAGGATGGGGCTGCTGGCCTGGTCTGTGCCCGCTGCCC